GAGATGTCGCAGCTCGCGTGCTGCCGCTGCGGCGCGGGCCGGCTGAGGGAAGAGAGGATGGTCTTCCGCTCGCACCGCGCCTACTACGGCGCCATCGCCGCCGACCTCGTCCTCCGCTTCGGCTGGGCCGCCACGCTCGCCGCCGTGGGGGCTGTGGACAGCGCCTCTTCACGCCTGCCGGTGTGATTAGGCTGGACGGCCACCCTCGCGCCGGGGCTGATCACCGCCGTGCTCGAGGAGCAGATCCCGCGCTACCACCACCACCACCACGCTCACGCCCCGCCCCCGGCGTCGCCCGACTGGCTGCACGAGACGCTGCAGCACGCGACGCCCGCGTCCGAGTTCCTCGCTTGGGCGCTGCAGACCCTCGTCATCGGGCTCGAGCTGGTGCGGCGCTGCTTTTGGGCGGTGCTGCGGCTGGAGGCGGAGCATCTCTACAACACCGAGGGCTTCCGGCGCATCGACAACGTGCCGATGCATTTCGACCGCAAGGCGCAGGAGGAGCGGCCGGAGCTGGAGCCGAAGAGCCGCGTGCAGCTGCTACTCGAGTTGGGCTCGTACCTGCTGCTCCTCGCCGCACTCGCGACGCTGTCTGCCGTCACGAGGGGGTTAGAGGGGGGCTCTCCGGGCAGCCCGTCGCCGTAGCACTCCGGACCAACGTTTAATCCAGCTCGTGCGCCCCGGTGCGTGGGTGAGGGAGTCGGTCGAGTGAGACCCCGTGTTGGCGGTCTCTCCCGCGCCGGGCGCGGGCGCGGCTCACACGCCACACGCGCCACACACATGCGGTCACGCACGCGCCGAATCACGGGGGCCGCGCGACTGGGAGGGCGCCGTCGGGTGCGGACACCAAAATTGCCGTGGCGCCGGTGAGTGGTGTTACTACATTTGCACTCCACTCAAGAACAACAACACAAATTCCGCGGCAGGGCGCCCGCCGGCGGAAAAAGTGTGCGCGGAGCCGCGGAGAGCGAGAGAGAAAACACACCACTGCAAGTCGTACGTGCGGGTGCACATCTCGGTTGTTCAGCCCGGGGGTGAGAGCGGGCGCTCTCGAATTCGATCCCGTGCAGAGCCCCTTCGCCCTTGCATGCAAGCGGAGGAGTTTGCTCACGCTTGTCCAGGCGGACCGGCGGTGCAGCTGGCAGGTGTCCGCTGCGAGAGGCCGACGCCGCGGAAGAGCGAGGAGGCAGCGCGCATGGCTGTTGGCTCGCCGAGCGGGAGCACCTGTCCACACGAAACAAGTGTGAGGATCGTCTCGTGCCATTGTGAGGAGCGCTAGATGACCTCGTTGTAGAACCACGGGACCGTGCCCTGAATGGGTGCGTTCATCAGCACGCGCGCAAACCACTTTGGCATCGTGAGGAAGGCGCCGACGCCCTCCGCCTTGAGGCCCTCCCTCAGCACGGCGCCATAGTTGATGCTCCTGCCGCCTGTTCATAGAGGACCGGGATGAACAAGCGGCGCCGCATGCGGAGAGAAGTGGATACTCGTCCCGCCGTTGACAGCTCCGTAATCGAGTGCGCGGCCCCACAGCGCCTGCTGCGTGATTGCGATCACGTTGCCGAAGAAGATGTTTGTCCCTAGAGCCGAGGTACAAGCTGGTGTGGCCAAGATTGCGAGGATCGCTTGCTGCTGAGATGAGAGCGTCGCGCCGAGGCCGAACCAGAAGAGCGACGCCTGGCTTTTGCGCTCTTGCGGGAAGTAGCGCTGGTAGAGCGTGGGAGTGAGGACGAACGAGGTGGCCGACATGACGAAGTTTCGCGAGGCGTTGGCGACGAAGCCGGGGCCGCAAGCGCGCGCGATCGGACCCCAGCCGAGCTTGGTCTCGATGGCAGCCAGTTTGGGCAAGCCGTGGAAACGCTGCGCCTCGGCGCGGTTGGCGACGACGGACTCTATGGTACCGGCGAGCGCGGGGGCCAGCACCGCCTTGGCAGCCACCCTCGCCTGCTCTGACACACTGAGCGCTACCGCCGCCGCCTCCGCCTTTGGCGGCTGCATCAGCTCCTCCCCATACACCACTCGCGGGACACCCATTGCAGAGGAGAGGGCGCGGTCGCAGGTCTGAAAGATGAAGCCCATCACCGAGTACTGGAAGAACCAGGCAGCAATGGAGGCGCGTCCCACCGTCCGGAATGGCGTCGCAAGCCCCTCCTTGAAGACGATCCGGAAAGCCTGTGTCGGAGGGGAGAGGCGGAGGGGAGAGGTGGCGATAAGCGGCGGTGAGGGCAGTGGCGGTCAGGGAGGCGCGGTATCTCACCTGGCCGAGCTGGCCCGATCCGGAGACCTGCGACGAGTTCATCACCATTGCAATCTTCTCGAGCGGCACCTGGAACAGGAGCGACGCAGAGGTCGGAGCTGCGTTGGGAGATGGTGGGTGTCATCACCGGCCAGCAGACCGTCGAGTAGCGAACGACAACAGCGTAAATTCCGAGGCCAGCTGAGCGGTAAGTCATCTGCGCTGCAACGCGTGAGGACTCGGGCAGCGCATCCTCCGACGGCTGCTGCGTGTAGAGGCGCGGAGGCGACGGCATGCTGACAATAGGAACAGCGGCCGGCGCTGCCGCAAGCTCGTAACTTCGGAGCCGGACCCGGAGCTTCCGACACCGAGAACCCTTTTCCCTTGACCCTTGGCTTTTTGCGTGCCCGAGCCAAGTGGCGCCTGAGGGAGCTACAAATGTCTTGCGTATTACGAATCTGTCTTCTGCATCCACCTTCGGCCGATCGGGGTGTGCCTCTCAAGGCGCGCTACGCCCCACGTACCACGCACACGCATTCCGGATCGAGTGAGAAGTGGTGGCCGACGGGGGTTACGCCTCACGCATTACGCATACGCTTGATGCATTCGCACGCCCAAGGTGTCGGAGAGGGCCTACGCACCACGTACTACGCACACGCATTCCGGATTCGAGTGAGAGGTGGCGGCCGACGGGGGTTACGCCTCACGCATTACGCATATACGCTTGATGCATTCGCACGCCCAAGGTGTCGGAGAGGGCCTACGCACCACGTACTACGCACACGCATTCCGGATTCGAGTGAGAGGTGGCGGCCGACGGGGGTTACGCCTCACGTATTACGCATACGTTTTACGCATTCGCACGCCCAAGGTGTCGGAGAGGGCCTACGCACCACGTACTACGCACACGCATTCCGGATTCGAGTGAGAAGTGGTGGCTGACGGGGGTTACGCCTCACGTATTACGCATACGTTTTACGCATTCGCTAGGGTGCCCACAGGACCCAAAAGAAAATAGATTTCCGACACAAAAAGGGACGCACGAGGCAAATCTGATGTTGGCCAGTTCCAATAGGAGCGAGGCCTCTTCCGTTGGGGGACCGAGTACATAGGAAACGAGGGTTTCCCATTGTGACCCGCTCCAGTGCGAGCGTGACACTGCACTTGGCGCCGAGCGCCCGCGGCACAGACCTTGTGCAGGCCTACCCTCATTGAGTGCACCGGTCCGGACCGATGGCGCTCGGTGTGGAGCAAGCAAGACCCCCCCCCCCCCCCATCGGCGCGCGCTCGCCATTCCAACGGGCGCCAGGAGCACCAAGAGGACTGCTCATGGCTGCACTCAAGTGGGCTTCGACCGGCCTCGGCTGGGGGGGCGGGTTGTCCCGGCTGCGGACGCGTTCTGCACAGCCCGCTGGGCGTGGGTCAGCACCCCAAAACTGCCCCTCGGCGGCATACAGCACTGCCAGCCAGCCTCTTCCTCCTCCTCAAGGGCTGTACTATAGGCCATATTGCGCCGCCTCCTACTGGCAGCCGGGCGGGCGCGCGCCGCGGGCGCCTCGGCGCGCGCACGGCTCGCAAAGTTCGAACGAGTACTGCCGCCCGGCCGCCTCAAGGCTGCCGGGCGGCAGTACTCGCCTCGCAAGGCGCGCACCGGCTGATCTGGCTGCTGCGCCGGCGGCCGCTGCGCTGGCCGCTGCTGCGCCGGCTGGCGGGCGGTACGGCCGCCGGCGGCCGCTGCACCCGCGCCTTCCCTCGCGGGCGCCGTCGCGCCGCGCGCGCCCAACTCTGCTGGTACACGGCACGCGTCGTCACACAGCCGCGGAGAATAGGCGGTGCAGCGCGCGAAGCGCGCGCGATCTCGTACGATTAAGGCTGGATCCGGCCATTCCAAGGGTATACCTTTGAGAATCCCCAGCGTCCCACCCTCCTAGTCACACTCTCAATTTCTCGACTGGCCAACACGAAGTGCTGCGATCGGGGTTGGCCCATTTCTTTTTCCTTTTCTTTTTTGGGCCCTGTGGGCACCCTACATTTGCACGCCCAAGGTGTCGGAGAGGGCCTACGCACCACGTACTACGCACACGCATTCCGGATTCGAGTGAGAAGTGGTGGCTGACGGGGGTTACGCCTCACGTATTACGCATACGTATTACGCATCCCCCCCCCCCCCCAACCCCCTTTATGTGCGCGCACTGGCGCTGCCGCTAGGGCTGCCATAAGCTGGCTAGGGTTGTATGTGCGCTGGTAACAACAGACTCGGGCATAGCCCTCGACAGCCCCCCCCTAACCCCCCAACCCCCCCCCCCCTTTTATGTGCGCGCACTGGCGCTGCCGCTAGGGCTGCCATAAGTTGGCGCTGCCGCTAGGGCTGCCGCATAATCATGAGCCTGTCTCCAAACACCTCTCCGACGCGCTCGACTATAGTCCAAATTGGACGGTGGACTATATGTCGGGACGGCGGCCATTTGCTCCGGCGTCAGAATGCTGAGCTCGTACACTGGCAGCTCCGCAGAGGTTGAGGACGGCGGCGGCGGCGGCGGCGGCGCGGTGAGATCGCTTGTGTCCCTGCCCGCCTCCCTGCGGGCGTAGAAGAGCGCCGCCTCCTCGGCGGTGGTGAAGAGGCCGAGGAAGATTTTCTTGCCTCCATCCCTCACCTCCAGCCTGTATTTCTTGCTGCCTTTCTGCGTCGGGCAGAAGGCAACGCCTTTGTAGCCGGTGTTGCTGCTGCTGGTGGCCAGAGTCAGGCCCTCCCTCTCCGCCTGCCGTATCGCCTCGAGGCCATCGGCAGTGGGAGCAGCGCGGGGCTGCAGCAGCTTGGCGGCGTCGGCGTGGCCGTACTCTGAGCGAGCGTAGGCAGTGGCCGCCTCTTCGGCGGTGTCGAAGTGTAGCCGAGGGAGACATCCTTGCCACCATCCCTCGCCCGCGCCACGAACTGCTTTTTGCTGCGGTGGAAGGACACGCCCTTGTAGCCAGTCGTGCTTTGGCGATGGCTGGGATCAGCACAACGCCCTCTGACGACGCGGTCCGCGGCGGGGCCATCATGCAACGCACGTAGATTCGCAAGTTTGACAATTGGGATTCGTATTGGATTTTAAAACAAGGCTGCGAGTGGCCTGAACATTTGCCAGGCAATCATCTGTTTTGGCGAGCACAAAAAAAGAAAAATACGTAATGCGTAATGCGTATGCGTGATACGTAAGGGGGGGGGGGCTCGGGGGCGCGCGGGGCGAGATACATAATCCGTAAACGTGAGACGTGGTACGTAAGGCACCCGCCGCGCGGGCCATTGCACCGTCCCCCGGGCAAAGCTTGCGGTGAAGAAGACGTATGCGTAATGCGGATACGTGATACGTCGAAGACGCCCCGCCCCCCCGCGGGCCGCGGCGCACCGGCGGAGATCCATAATCCGTATACGTGACACGTGGTACGTATGAGGCAACCACAGGGCCATCGCACCGTCACGCACGCGATGATTACGTGTATGTATTGACGTTTTCTATTTATTTTTGAAGGGGGAGGCGTTCGACGGGCTGGTAATGCGACGCATTTGGACTGGCAAGTGACGTACACGCACCGAGTTTACGTATTCCCGAGAGGGCGTAATGTGATGCGTATGCATATGGGCCTCCTTGCATATGCGTAGCAGTACAACTCACGATTGCCGGCGTGGGCAATAGCAGCGAGCTCTTGCGCCCCTCCACGCGCACGGCGCGAGTCCACAAGCACGCCGTGGGCCCGTCACAGTGCGGCCGGTCGCCAACCACGGGGAAGCCCGCCGCCGCAGCAGCTTCGCGCCAAAGGTCGGCGTGGCCCGTGGTGAAAATCGCCTCACGAATCGCACCGTAGCGCACCGAGCGGCCGTCGCGCTTCACACTCACGTTTGCTAGCCCGCACGCGTCGAGTGTCTCCAGCGGCGGCGCGCCTCGAAAGATCGCCACCCGAAGCGTGATCTCCACGGCTTGCTCGAGTACGGTCTACGGAGAGCGCCGCACGTGGCGTCTTGGCGACGAGCCACGCGCCGCCGACGCGCATAGGTCCATCGTACGCCGCCGTCCACGGCGGCTGCGGCTGCGGCTGCGGCTGCTGCTCGTCGCCACCAGCCCCGCCGCCACCATCCCCGCCGCCGCCAGCCCCTTCGTTCGTAGCGGCTCGCCTGCAACGCGAGCAGTGCACATGGCGAGCGAGCGACGGCCCTGCAGCACGCCCGTCCCCGCAGGCTTGACAGCCACCATCCATCTGCCGTCGTCATCGTCTGTCGTCCCCCCTCTCCCCGACGGCGATGGCGGTGAGTGTGACCGATCGAGCTACAAACTAACTAGACCCTCTCAAATTCCTCTCCCCGAAGTCGCCCTCAAACTCCTCGCGGTCGCGCTTGCGCGCCGCTCCGTCCGGGCCGTAAGAGCCGATCCGGACCTGCACTCTCTCCAGCCAGCCAATGAAAGAGGAAAGACACGTAAGAATTTCATACTGTGCTGCATGAATGCTTGCCCAGGTGTGAACAACACCTCGTGACCACGGCGCCGCAGGCGCCTGTTGATGGGTCCAGGTGATAGCCCTGGATGGGCAATGCATACGCCTAGTTGGACCTCAGATCGCCCGACCGCGTCCCGGTGCTTTGTGGTCGGATTTGTGACGCCGCCGCACCGCGCCGCGGCCGGGGGCCCTCCGGAGGCCGAGGATGGCCGTGGCGGACCGGGACGAGCTCTGGGAGGTGGAGTGTCAGTGAGTATATTGTAGAGACTGACCATGTGCACAATATCTCTCACTCTAGCTAAGCCAGGGGAGGCGATGCCGGGGCCGTACAGCAGCTTGATGGTGCTTCGCCGGCGTGCGTGCGTCCCGGAGCGGTGCCGGACGGGGGCCCAGGGGAGGAAAATGGAGGACAACGCCGACGCCGCTCTGATTCGACTTTTTACTTCAAACAAAGACAGTCGCACGCGCCGCAGCGCGGCGCGGATTCGTCAGTTAGTCGTGTTCACGCCGGGATCGTGTCCTCCACAACCTGGGCAACCATCAGGGCGACGAGTAGCGCCACTTTCATCTTGCCCATCATCTGTGCGCCCGCTCCTCGCCGGCTGCTCGCCATGGCTCCGCCGCTCCTTGGCCGGCGCGTCGTTATTGGCGGGCTTTCATCCGGCCTGAACGGGCGGCAAGGAGTGGCGGTGCGTTTCGAAGGAGGCCGCTACGTGGTTGCAATCGACGGCTTTGGCGGGAGCCTTCGGCTTCGACCGGAGAATGTGTCGGCTCCGCCACCACGGCCGCCACCAACCCCACCACCTTCCGCGCTGAAGCCGC